CCTGAAGGTGGAGATGAAGGACGTCATGCTGGAGGACGCAGGCCAGTACGTCTGCTCGGCTAACAACACCTACGGCAGTGCCGCAGCATCCGTGCGCTTCGGTGTGGAGAGTGAGTGCTGGTGTCTTTTTAACCCTTCTGTGCCGTGCTCTCTCCCTGGAGCACCCACAGGCTATGGGGGGATTTGGATTCAGATCCCACGGGGTGGGGCCAAAGCAGAATCTGGAGCTTGTGCACCTGCAACCTCTGGGGAAACTCGGATTTAAATCTTGATCTGAGCATCACAGCAGATTTGGGTGTAGAGCTCAATGCTAGCAGCTGGTGCTAGGCTGACAATGTTAGAGGCGAAGACTGAGATTTGCCAAGTGATCTAGGGCAGTGGTTCTCAACCAGGGGTCTGGGGCCCTCTGGGGGGGCCACGAGCAGGTTTCAGGGGGTCCCTCCAAGCATGGCTGGTGTTAGACTAGCTGGGGCCCAGGGCAGAAAGCCGAAGCCCCAGCGCATGGGGCTGAAGTCCAGGGCCCTGAGCCCCGCCCCCCGGGGCTGAAGCCGAAGTCTGAGCAATGAAGCTTCATGGGAGCCCCTGTGGTGTGGGACCCCAGGCAATTGCCCTGCACTAACGCCAGCCCTGGCTTTTATACGCAGAAAAGCGGTTACTGTGGCACAGGTGGGCGGTGGAGTTTTTATAGCATGCGGGGGGCAGCTGCAGAAAGAAAAAAGTTGAGAACCCTGATCTAGGGGATTTAGACACATAGATGCCAATAATGTCACTGAGACAAGGTGGGTGAGGTAATATCTTTATTGAAGTTGGTTCAACAGAAGATATTACATCACCCACCTTGTCTCTCTAATATCCCAGGACTGACATGGCTACAACAACATGGCATACAATAATGTCACTGGGAGATATGTGTCAAAACCCCCTAGCCTGCTTTGAAAATCACATACCCCCGATGATATCTTTATCTGCACAAGCAATGGCAATGCAATATACCCAACACATGTGCTTCTCCATGCCCCAGCTGTGACCTGGAGGGATCACCTCTAGCAATGAGTAGATAGTTCATTTCTTTGGTCCATTCAAAGGGGGCCAACAAGGGGTCCGATCAGTGCCAATTATGGTGGTGGGTTTTGTGGAGGAGGCATCTGGACTAAGACACACCAAACAGCCATCAGAAGGGTCAAACCTTGGGCTAGTTGGAACTGGAATCCGAGATGACTAGCACTGGTTGGAAAATGGAGATTATTTTCTGTCGAAAATGTTGGCAGAAATTAACATTTTTCGGTTTTGTGGACATTTTTTTGCAGAATTTTTCGATGAAAAACCAAAATCTCAAAAATTGTTGAAAACCAAAAGTCGTTATTTTTAACACACACACACACAAATCAGCAAAAATGGAAATTTTCTTGCAAAAATGTCCATTCTGTACAAAAAAAAAACAAACTGAAAAAGAATTCGGATGAAATTTTTTTAAGCAGCTCTGCTGATGAGCAGCTAATCGCATGAAACATGGAGCTCTGCCGGTTCCCACTAGAATACACATGGCTGATTTTCCTGATCTCTTCTCCCCATCAGCTGTCAGAATCATGATTGAACCATCTCAGGAAATCCACGAAGGAGTCACAGTCAACGTGACCTGCCTGGTTGCCGATTGGCTCGGGGGCGAGACCAACTACACCTGGTATAAGAACAGCAAGTGGCTGCAGGATGGTCCCGTTAGGTCGCTCCACCTTGATAGGGTCTCCAGCGCCGACACGGGGTCATACCACTGTCGGGCAGAGGGGAGGACAGGAAGTGCCGTCTCTGCCCTGGTCAGCTTGGATGTGCTCTGTGAGTGTCAAGGGGATTTGGGGGTTCATTTGTTCGCACTAAATAAAGGCAACTTGTTGTTGTTATCTGTTATTTCTAGAGAGCCATAGATGTGCCCAGCGCTCTATGAGAGTAAAATTAAGACCCAGGCCCAAGGCAGAGCCCCAGATCCAACCCGCTCTGAACTAGGAGAGCATCTAGAATCCAAAATCAAGACGCAAACGTCCCCTCCCTTTAAATGAACCCAACCAAACAATGATTGAAGCAACCTCTTCCTTCTCCTGCAGTCTCCCCTCCTCCTCTCTCCCCTGTCCTTTCACCCCTCACCCCTTGGATGCTAAAAGCCTGGCTAACGTGATTTCTTGGCGTTTGTGTAGCGCTGTTTGCAGATTCACTTTGAAGGTCAATAATAGAGTGCGTCGAACAATTTACAAGGGGACAGTTTTCCATTGGAAAATGCTGATTTGACAACACAAACGTTTCCCCAGAACGTATCCATTTCATTGAATTTTTCAAGGGGGAAAATCACTAAAATGTTTTGTTGTGATAAGATCCAAATGTTTTGTTCCAATAAGGCTGAAATGCTTCATTTCCATAATATAACAGAAGAGTCAACACTACGAAGTCAAAATGAAACATTCTGATGGTATCCGAAAGAAACTTTTGGATAAGGTTGAGAAGAAATATTCCATTATGCAAAAAATTACGAGATTTCAAAGCAGGACAAATGAAATTTTGAAATCTTGGAATTTCTCATGGGATGGAAAGTCTGTTTTGTGATCTGTTCTAGTCAATAACCGTAGACCACCACTGGCTGCTCTTAACCAGTCACCGCCTCTTTGTCAGTTGAAGAAGTCCAGCCACCTGATTTAACAGTAACATTGTCTCCTCCATGCAGATGCTCCAAGGAACCCATCAATGAACGCCTTCCTGGAGAACCGCAATGCAAGGGTGGGCCTCATCCATTGCACGGCTGATAGCAACCCACGGGCTGAATTAGCCCTGTACAGAGAGGATAAACTAGTGGCTTCCAGCCAAGGCCCACGCTCAGCAGGCAGCCAGAGGGTCAGTGTGTTTCCATCCTACAACACCTTGAGAGTGGAGATCTGGGACGTCACATCAGCGGATTCAGCAGAATACACATGCGTGGCCAGCAATGCACTGGGCAACGTGACAGCCACCTCCTACTTCAGTGCGCAAAGTGAGTCAGGCTGCTAGGGGGCTGTGAGACAGGCAGAGCTATCAGCCACGGGTGAGGCTGCCACGTCCCATCTAATCCATCCCCACAGACACGTAGGATTGTTCCCTACAGCGTGTCCTCCATCCAGTACCGTTGTACCCAGCAGGGGGCACAGACCCTCCGCGGAGCAGATCTGAATCCATCCAGCAGGGGGTAGTGAGGCACATGTGCAAACACAGACACACATAAGAACGGCCAGACTTGGTCTGACCAATCGTCCATCCAGCCCAGTTTCCTGTCTACCGACAGTGGCCAATGCCAAGTGCCCCAGAGGGAATGAACAGAACAGGGCAATTATTGAGTGATCCATCCCCTGTTGCCCATTCCCAGGATCTGGCAGTCAGAGGCTAAGGGGCAACCAGAGCATGGGGTTGCATCTCTGACCATCTTGGTGAATAGCCGTTGATGGACCTGTCCTCCATGAATGTATCTGCAGGGCTGGTGCAACCACTAGGCGAACTAGGCGGCCGCCTAGGGTGCTTAGTGGTTGAGGGCGCCTAAAAGCCCGCTCAGGCGAGGGAGGTGGAGTGGAGGTGAGCTGGGGCGGGCTCCCCGGCCGGAGTTAGCTTCCGCGGGGGGGACTCCGCAGGTGGGGTTAGCTGCCGCGGAGGGGCGGGGGGCAGGGTTAGCTGAGTTGGGGGGTGGCGCAAGGTGGAAGTTTCACCTAGGGTGCAAAACTTCCTTGCACCGGTCCTGTGTATCTGATGCTTTTTTGAACCCTGTTATAGTTTTGGCCTTCACAACATCCCTTGGCAAGGAGTTCCACAGGTTGACTGTGCATTGTACGAAGAAATACTTCCTTTGATTTGTTTTAAACCTGCTGCCTATCAGCAGGTGACCCCTGGTTCTTGTGTTATGAGAAGGAGTAAACAACACTTCCTTATTTACTTTCTTCAAACCAGTCATGATTTTATAGACCTCGGTCATATCCCCCCTCTTTCCCATTCTGAACAGTCCCAGCCTTTTTAATCCCTCCTCATACAGAAGCCGTTCCATACCCTTAATCATTTTTGTTGTCCTTCTCTGTATCTTTTTCAATTCTAAAGTAGCTTTTTTGAGATGGAGCGACCAGAACTGCATATAGAACTGGATTTATAGAGAGGCAATATGATTTTTACTGTCTTAGTATCTGTCCCTTTCCTAATGGTTCCCAACATTCTGCTTGCATGTTTGACTGCCACTGCCCAGTGAGCGGATGTTTTCAGAGAACCATCCACAACTCCGAGATCTCTTGGAGATCTGATCCTACCCAGCAGGGGGCAGTGGGACACACAAGCAGGTCCATCGGGAGGTGATGGAGCACAGACAATAGCCACGACGCGATGACTGAAACAACATATTGATGACATGAAGACTCAGATGTTGCGGTAGAAGAACACAGCCTCCTGGCTTTGAGTGCTGAGTGTGTTGTCAGACCTGACAAACACAAGTCACTGGCCTTCCAGGAAGGGGGCTGGAGAGGGAGAGGTTAAATCCAGTACATCATCCCATCCCATCTCCTAGAACTGGAAGGGACCTTGAAAGGTCATCGAGTCCAGCCCCCTGCCTTCACTAGCAGGACCAAGTACTGATTTTTGCCCCAGATCCTAAGTGGGCCCCCTCAAGGATTGAACTCACACCCCGGATTTAGCAGGCCAATGCTCAAACCACTGAGCTATCGCTCAGGGGGGCAACTTCACCTTTCCAAAACTCACTGCCTCCTGCCCCGTACCCATGTTTTGCCCCTGTTGGAGTGACTTGAGTCACAGCAGTGTCTGGGAAATCACTATGCAGACAGCTGTTTGTGGTTTTACACTGGCCGGAATAACCCTCCTCTCCTCTCTCCTCCTCAGCTCTCGCTGACCTCCGCTTGTACAAGATCCTGGCCGGGATGTTCATCGCAGCGCTGGGGGCTATTGTTCTAGCCATTGCAGTGGTCCTGTTATGGCCCAGGTAACTTGGTTCTTGATGCTTTAGTTCGTAGAAGCAGTTCAAGGGTGTCCAATTGGGCTGGCTCACAAGGGCTGGGAAGGGACGGCTTGTTTTGGGGTGGGTGATTTTTATTTATTGTTTATTTGATATTACTAAAGCCAGCCCACAAGGAGGGGTAAGTTTTGACCAGGAAAAAGCCTGAAGTGATGTTTATTTGAACAGTCCAAGAGGGAAATTGAGGCAGGTTGCCTGTAGGCCATGAGGGGGCACATGAGAGGCTGCTGGCTTGGTTACAGACTGTGAATCCTTTTGCTGCGGGGTCACTGGCCAAGCCAGTGGTGAACATGAGTTGTATGACCCACTGCTCAGCGTGTTGTGTCTCCCACTCTATGTGATCCACAGAGGATGTCAGGCTGTTACAGTCCAACCTGAAGAGCTGGTCTCTATAGCAGATGCTGTAGAGACTGCCATGGTTAGCTCTGGAAGTCCCTGGTTTGGGCCCTGATGGTGCCATTTGAGAGTTTTTGAGCACCTTGTGCACAATGCCTCGCCAGGTCTCAGGCCAGTTCCAGGTGTTGGCATCACAACTGGCCCCCTCCCTGGCAGTCTAAGGGGAGAGGCCAATGGCTGAATGGCCCTGGAGAATGGCAGCCCCTCTTGTATCGAGCGTGTGCATTCAGGAGCCACATCTGACGGAGGGGGGCATTGGTGGTCAGACACCACAATGATGGGCACATGAGAACAACACACTGGCAAAGGGTGTGTCAGACCCCTCACTAGTGGCGGGTCCGCCACAGGAAAACAGCCTACTACTGCTAGCAGGATTGTTCCTTTAACTCAAGCAGCAGAGGTCTGCCCTTCCGCTCTGGGTTCAGATCCTGCTGATGACCCAAGCTAGGGTTTGCGATGTAGGTGGACAGACGGAACGGCAGGCCTGCCGAGTTGGGCTTTTTCTGCCCCTAAAGTGCTAACCCCCCTCGCCTCCTCCCCTGCCTAGGATAACGAAGCTAGTGAAGCCGCTAAAAGACGAAAGCTCCATGGAACTGACCGGCACAAGGGAACAATCACAGGTGCGATTCCTCAGCGTGGCTGGGTTGGTGCCGGGCTGGGGCTTGGCCCGGGGACACCAGAGCTGGGAGTCAGGCCCCCAGCTGCTCAAAGGTGTAAAAGACAGTCTGGCCAACTGGACTGAGAGGCTCTGGTTGCCTTGCTGTTGCCTACAGAGCCGGCCTCGGGTTGGATACTGGGGACATGAGTTCAGGAGAGTGGGACTGATGGGGACGGAGCGGGAAGAGGGGTTAATGCACTGGGGTGCATAAGGAGCTGAAATCCTGGGCCAGCGTTGGGATCAAACAGGAGCTGGGTTGAATTTTTTCCAGCCCGCCCTGCCCTGCGCATGCTGGCCTATCAAAAAGGCCTGGGCATGAAAACTGCATGCTCCCCACAGCCTCCCCCATCTCTGTCCCTCCCCCTTCAAGCCTCTGTCTCACCCTTCAGCCCCGATGAGGTATGGAGAACCTTCTCTGTGGGCCTGTCTCCCCATTTCCCCCTGCTACGCTCACCCCTCACCTAGGAGTATAATTCTTTGTGCCTGGAGCATAGGGGAAGATGCAGTCCATGCTGGGGGTGCAGGAGTTACTTAAGGACTAGATCCTCAGCTGGTACAACTCGACTTAGCTCCATTGGCTGCAGGGCAGCTGTGGGCATCGACTGGCCCGTTGACGTCGATGGATCTCTGCCGATCGGCACCCGCTGGGGATCCGGCCCGCTGATGTCCATGGAGCTCTGCGGACGGGCACCGGCTGGATGTTGATAATTTAACCCCGCTGGCTAGGAAGAATGCTGGGTGAGGGTGGGAAGTCACACTCCCATTCCCCGGGCTGGCAGAGCTGCGGGCAGGTGGGTCCAGGGCCGGACGCTAGGCAGAGGGAGTGCTCGGAATAGAAGGGCGGAGCGACCCCTGCAGGAGGGTCAAAGATAAGCAGAGGGGCAGGATTTTAGCTCAGCAAGTCGATGCCACTGCCTATGGCCCCTGGTCCGTTTCTGGTACCAAAGATAACAGAGACCCGTGTTTGGTGCGTGGCCGGGGATCGTGCACTTGGGAGCTTGTCCCACAGGCTGATTTGGGGCTCTGGGGTTTTTCCCAGCAAATTCCAACCAGGAGGGGTTGTGTAACTTTTCCAGGTTGACGACACCTCCTCGATCAACAGATAACCACGGCGCCTGGCAGCGCCTGGAGCAGCCTGCATGGCAGCCGCACTGAGACTCCCCTTGCCCAGCTGGACCCGGGCAGCGAAGTTGTTCTCACCCAGTGGCACATTTTTAGTGCTCGCCATACTCGGTACGTCGCATGTGTCAAATGCGGGACCGCTGTCAATACCCGGAACTGAGCCCGGGCTGTGAACAATCCCAGGCTGTCTCCCTCCACAAACCCACGCCGTCCGGAGCACCCTCATCTGTGCCCTGTGACTCCGCCAAGCCCCCACATTTGCAATAACCTCCCGGCGTGCTGCCAAACAGCTCATCAGTCACAAAATAAACCAAGGAGCAAAGTGTCGGTGTCACAAATGTTCAAAAGTACAACCCCTCTGGGCCTGATCCCGTGTGAGGGGAAGGCAGTGGGGGAGCTCCCCCTTGATAGCACAGATGCAGGATCAGGCCCTTAAACCTCATCATTCTCAAAGCCTATTCAACCTTACTGGGGGGCAGCTGGGGGAGCCCTCGGTATCTAACCACTGAGGGGGTGCTACAGGTGGATCTTGGCTCTCAGGTGAGGTGTGCCCAGCAATACAGACTCAACCCTCCTGTATCAAAGGGCTGCTATGGGAGATACACAGGTATGGACTAATGCCCTAGGTATGTGCCCTACGTATGTGCCCAGGATGGGAATTCATAGATTATAAAGCTAGGAATGGGCGACAGAGAATGGATCACTTGATGATGACCTGTTCTGTTCATTCCCTCTGGGGCACCTGGCATTGGCCACTGTCAGATGACAGGACACTGGGCTAGATGGACCTTTGGTCTGACCCAGGATGGCCGTTCTTATGTTCTTATAAAGCCAAAAGGGACCATTGGGGTCGTCTAGTCTGACATCCTCTATAATTCCTGAATTCATTCCTGTTTAAATAGCACCAGATCTTTTAGAAAAAACATCCAGTCTTGATTTTAAACTTGCCAGTGATGGAAAATCTAATTACCCTCCGTGTTAAAAATGTCCCCCTTATATCTACTCTGAATATGTCTAGCTCCAATTTCCAGCCATCAGATATTGTCAGACCTTAGCCTGCTAGGGTGAAGAGGCCTCTCCTCTCAAATATTTGTTCCCTATGTAGATATTTACAGACTGGGATCCAGTCACCCCGTAACCTTCTCTTTGTTAAGCTAAACAGATGGAACTCCTGGAGTCTATCACTAAAAGCAGATTTTCCAACCGTTTGATCATGTCCAGATATTTATCCCAACACTTCTCACACTTTGGGGGATGTCTGGGTCTGGAGTTCTGTTTCGGCCCATTAGAGACACAGGGGTCAGCTGCAAAGTTTGTGTCTGGATCCAAACTTTCCCTGAAGTCGTTGTGTGTTTGGATCTGAGGATGCCTGTTCAGGTCCCTCTCTAATTATAACTGCAGAGAGCTGACGGGGTGGAAACCCATCCTGTCCCAAGGAGAGCTAGGGCTACCCTCCAGGTACAGAACAGGGGCTTCAGAGGTCATTCCCCAGCTTCACCCATAGCAAGGCCAGGACTCCTGTGACCCATGGGATAGAATGCCAAAAATCCAGAACTTTTCCATGATCTGGAAAAAATGGTAACCCGTGAGGAGGCAAAATTTGCAGACAGTACAAAGTTCCTCAGAGCAAAGCAGACTGGGAGGAGTTACAAATCGATCTCACAAAACTGGGTGACTGGGCAACAAAATGGCAGATGAAATTCAGTCTTGATAAATGCAAAGTAACGCACATTGGAAAACATCATCCCAACTATACATACAAATGATGGGGTCTAAATTAGCTGATACCACTCAAGAAAGAGATCTTGTGGAGAGTTCTCTGAAAACATCCCCTCAATGTGCAGCGGCAGTCAAAAAAAGCGACCAGAATGTTAGAAACCATTAAGAAAGGGATAGATAATAAGACAGAAAATATCATATTGCCTCTATATAAATCCATGGTACACCCACACCTTGAATACTGCGTGCAGATGTGGTCCCCCCATCTCAAAAATGATCTATTAGAATTGCAAAAGGTGCAGAGAAGGGCAATAAAAAGGATGAGGAGATGGAACAGCTTCCATAGGAGACGAGATGAAAGAGACAGGGACTGTTCAGCTTGGAAAAGAGACGACGAAGCTGGGACTGGCCAACAGGGGATGGATCACTTGATGATGACCTATTCTGTTCACTCCCTCTGGGGCACCTGGAACTGGCCGCTGTCGGCAGACAGGATACTGGGCTGGATGGACCTTTGCTCTGACCCCGTCTGGCCATCCTCTGTTTGTCCTGCAGTGTCTTTCAAGCGACTGCCACCCCTAGGAGGCAGCTGCAAGACACCCCCAGTGGAGACACCTCCTGGGCCATTTGTGATCTTCCCAGACCCTGCCCTGGGGATACACCCTCCGCCCCCCCAAGAGAACACTAAGGTCCAAAGGCCTGTTCTGTACTATAGCGTCTGTCCGTGAATTGGCCAGGGTGACACCTGGTGGTGAAGTTAGGGAAATGCATGCTGCAGACACAGCTTCTCTGGGTGCTGCATGTTGCTTAAGGAAAAGATGAGGACGAGCAGCCGCTGGCCCCACTGAAGAGGCTCCGGCTCCTGAGTGAGGGGAGTTGCCTAGTGGAGGATTCCTCTTAGGGTCCTACAGCTCAGTCCGCTGGGCCCCATGGGGCTGGGAGCAGGCAGAGCCCTGAGCGTGGGGGGGCAGGGGAAGCAGCTTGTTTCTCAGAGTTGACTTCAGTGGAGGTTCTCAGCCTCTGGTCCTCCCCTCCTCTCCTTCTCCCACCCTTCTCTTCCCACCCCATCATTTGCAATTCGAGGCCCCCAAAAAACATCAAGTCAGGGCCTCCTGGTGCTGGGTGTCGCACAGACATAGTGAAGGCCAGCCCGTCCCCCAGAGAGAAGACAGTCTAAGCAGCCATGAGATAAAGCACACGGCAGCGCCTGGGGAACTGAGGCACAGAGTGTGACTTGCCTGCTTCTACACACAGCGTCTGCGGAGGAGCTAGGACTTGACCCCACACCTCTGTGATCCCGGTCTACTGCCTTAACCACTCACTCCCCGCCCATCAGTTGTGCAACCAACCCTCCGGTCTGATTCCTTTCTCTGCAGCCCCATCGACAATCCAATTCACCACAGGGCCTGGTATCAGAACTGCAGTGTCTGCTCTGATTCCAGCTGCCTGGTGCTCCACTCCGCCCTCTCCGTGTGACACTGCTGGCCTGGGATTGACCAGACTGTGATAAAACCAAAGAAAGACCTGCCTCCTGCAAGGAGATTCAACTCCACAGCTCGACAGGCTGTTCCCATCCCCATCAGAGGGGGGTCAGCCACAATCTGCAGAGAGGGCAGGGGCAGATCGGAGAGGCGGGGCGGGCAAGTGACGCAGAAGATTCCTTAAGGCGAACAAGCAGCACTAATAGTTCATACGCTCAAGGCCACGTCTACCCTACAAAATTAAGTCCAACAAATGTATGTCGGCGTACAACCGCCACAGTGGTTCCCTCGCTTGTGTGTGCCTCCACGTTGCTTCTTGGGTTGGCTGCGCGCATCCTCCGGTTGTACTGTCAGTGCGGGGCACTGCGGGAAGGCTCCTGAAAGCCAGCAACAGTCGACATAAGCAACGCAGGGTCCACACTGACCCTGCATCGACCTAACGACAGCGACCTTGCCCCTGCCCAGCTGGGGAATGGAGATGTTAAGTCAGTGTAGCTGGCGTGTCAGTGGGAGTGAAATTGAAGTGTAGACACTTCCTTGGTTACGTGGACGTGGGCTGCCTTGCGTTGACCTAACTCTACAGCATAGACCAGGCCCAATTCATGTGCCTCCTTGGTGGGGACTTAGCTAGCAAGGAGACAGGCACAGGAGAGGTACCTCTCCCCTAAGAAAGCCAGTCCCGCTCTTGACTTCCTTCTCCAAGAATTTGATCCTCCAAGCTCCCTATCCTGGCTCCATCCACCACCACCACAGGCAGCAACTCCTCTTCCAGTCCCTTCCCCACGTCGTCTGAGCCCCCTGGCCCCTCTCGGTGTGTCCTCGCTTGTGCGGCCGGTGCTGGAGGCCATAGGGTGGCATCCTCACTTCTATTTTTAGCAAGGTCGCTAGAGTACAGCTAGTGGACGGGAGCCACAAATCCCACCCGCACGGCAGTGTAGACGCACCTGCCACCTCTGTGGGATTCTGGCCCCTCAGCCAGCTCCCAGAGCAGCTCTTCATTGTGTGACCCCTTCCAAAGTGGGCCTCCTTCCGGAAACACAACGCTCTCTGCTCGCCAGCTAGGTAGGGGAGGCGGTGGGCCCCGGTGGGCAGAAGTCAGGAGACCTGGGCTTCATTCCTGGCTCTGCCACTGAGCTACTGTGTGACCTTGAGCAAGTCACTTCCCCCATCCGTACTTCTGTTCCTTTCTCATACTTTGTCTGTCTCTACTGTGAGCTCCTGCGGGGGGAGACGACTGTCTCTCATTAGGGGTATATACAGCACCTAGCCCATGGAGCCTGATCTCGGCTAGGGGCTTTAAGTGCTGCCTCCTCTCTGCTGCTGATCTCATTGCTTATACTCCCAGGCTCCCAGTCTTGCAAATACAGATCATCAGGCTCCCAAGGGTAATGCTCAGGAAAGGCCTGGAGTCCTCAGAGCAGGGGCAGCTGTGGGATAAGCTCCCCCGCCCCAACAGCCTGCCTGCATGCGGAGAGGGCTGCCCATTGCCTATGCCCGCTCCAGCCCTTGGCGGCTCTGTCGAGCGGTGCCGGTTGCTCCTGGCTGCAGCGTGCGTTCCTGGCTGCAGAGATCTATCGAACTCATCTTGCACCGGACCACTGAAGAGCCATCAGACGGTAGCTTCCTTTGGCTGCAACAGGCCTATGGCCAAGTCCTGAGCTCCTCACTTGGCAATTATACGTTCCTGACTCACGCTGAGCTGCTGTGGAAGTCAAGGGGTGCTTGTATCCGGAGGGACTGGATGCCGTAAGGACCTCGGGCCACTGGGCTGCTTTGCCTAGTGGTAAGAGTCGCCCCTCCCCCGAACCATTTCCATTCACTCCCCACACAGATGTTCCTGATGAGCGGCTGCTGCAGTAGACCCCTGTTCACTGCAGCTGAGATTCCCTCTCTTCATGTCGTGCAGGTCGCTAACGAGCCATCAAATGGCAACGGTTCTGGTTCCCTACCAGCCATGGCCAGCATGGAGGCAGTGATCTCCAGGGCAGGGACTGCATTCCCCCGTGGTCAGTCTCTCGAGCCAGCCACACTGCGCCCCCAAAACGGCATCACCTTTCATCGTTTACAGCATAAAAGGAGATTCTCTATGAGTCCATCTATCCCCATAGACACCCATCTATCTA